GGCCTTCTCGGTCGCCAGCAGCACTGTGCGCGCCTTGCCCGCCTCGCCCGCCATTGTCGGAAGTGAGCGCTGGAAGCTGAAAGTCTGCGCCGCGCGCCTGACCGAGGCCGTAGAAGTAAGCCCTCTTTTCAGCCAAAATGGCTGCGGAAGGCGGGGACCCTGGGGTCCTGGCGTCAGAGCTTATCGAAACATTCAAGTTTGCCATGTTTTGGGCCCCAGAGGCCCTCACGGATCGATCCAGCCCGAAACATGCGGCGGAAAGATGGTGTCAAAGACTACGGTCGAATTGTTTTACGATGCTGCATTTTTCGAGACGTCGGATCTCAGGAAGGAGTACCGAGGAGCAGTGCGAGCAGCAGGGGCAGGATCAGTCAGCATCGAAATCAGGATATCGGATCGAATCGAAATGTGCGTCGGATCGGGCCGCATCGGCACATAATCGAAATCAAATCGGATGTGCCGCGCCAAGATGCACAACAGCGCCATGCAAGCGTCGAGCCGCATCGAATCGTCGGAATATCGAATCGATTCGGATCGGGCCGGCCTGAATCGGTATCGAATCAGATCGATCGATTCGAACTAGACCCTGCAAGGCTGGAGGTCGAGGAAGGGGGTCCTTTGGGGTGTATGCTCCATCGAGGCCACTTCCCCTCGCCTGCCAGATCTCTATGCGCGCGCGGGGGCCAGTGGAAGACGATGAGGAGAGTGGGAGACATGTCAGGGAGGGCGAGGAGACGGCCACCGAGCGGTCCGAGTTCGCATTCCTGGATAGCTCACGAGAGACAGAGACAGAAATAGAGAGACCAGTTGCCCTAGCCATCGCACCAGCCAGCTGAGCCAGTCCAACCATACAGCGCGCCAGCCAAACCATCAGCCAGCCAGCCAGCACCCGCCGCCAGCCCTCCGTCACAGAGAGAGGGAGGGAGGGAGGGAGGGATCAGGGAGGGAGTGGAGGGAAGGAGGGAGCGGAGGGAGTGAGCGAGGGGAAGGGAGCGAGGAAGGGAGCGAGGAAGGGAGGTGGATTGGGAGAGGGAGAAAAAGGTTCTGATAAAGTGAGAGGGAGGAGCGGGGGAGAGGGAGAGGGCACTGAAGGAAGGCAAGGGATCCAACTCAGTCAACCCGCCCACCCCCTCCCCTCCCGCCCTATTTGCGGGGTGCCTCGGGCAAGCCAGGAAGAGCTGCATGTCGATCCATCCTCCCTCGTCGGCGGCGATGGCATCCTGGATAGAGGAGAAGAGCGAGGAGGGAGGAAAGCGGAGGAGGAGGAGGAGGAGGAAGAGGGCGGAGGAGGATCGGATCGACTCGGCAGGAGGGAACGTCGAGAACCTCAGCGCCGTCGGGGGCCTCCTATGTAGGGGCCACAGAGTGAAGAAACATATCAAAAACAGCTCCAGCTGTACTTCTGTCCGCCCTGCTCGGTAGCGAACTTCTTCGGATCCCTCTCCACATTCCACCTTGTCTATGATCCCCCCCATCCATCCGCAATAGGGCGAATGCCCGCACCGTACTTCGTCCTGCCAGGGTCCAGACCCTTAGAAGGAGGGAGGCGAAGTGGAGGGGAAAGGTGGGAGGCAGAAAAGAGTCACGAGGGGTATACACCTGCGAGATTAAGCAACGAACTGAGACCTGCATGCGTCTATCCAATTCCGAGGGCAGACTGAAAGCGCCAGCAAGATGGGCCGCGTGAGTTCCCACGGGAAAAAGACTGCAGTTGCGTAGCACATCGGCACGCTCACGAAAGAAGTAGCCAGACAGGCGTTCAACTCGAAGCGGCCTGGCCCGAAACCTCGGAGTCGAAATTCGCGCGGAGGAGCAGGAGGAGAGGTACAATCATTCGTGGTTCGTTCAGGGTGAGGTCTGGACACTTCAAGCGTATCCTCTCAGTGTCCACTCAAATGACGTACATTCTCACAGTGGTCGACGAACTACGCTGGCCCTCGACGCAGCCCACGCCTGAGGGGCAGCAAGAGTCGCAGACGATTGGCAGTCCCGTGTGGATGCCCTCCGTCATGTGGCTGGGCTTGGAAGCCGCCCCGACCCATGCCAGGGACGAGCTGCCGCAACAAGATGGGTAGTCCTCAAAGGAGCCCATGCCTGCAGGGCATCTGGGGCCGTAGGCCATGGGCAACTCCGTGTTGATGCCAGGCGCCTTGGAATACCGGCAGGGGTAGTCCTCGAAGCAGCCCACGCCCGAGGGGCAGCTGAGGCCATCGACGATCGGCAGCCTTTCGTTGATGCCCGGAACCTCGTAGCAACTGCACAAGACCTGCGGGCGCCCATGTCTGGCGGGAAACCAGATCCGTAGCGTGAGGCGGTGCTGGGAGACACCGCCGCCCGAGCCGGGCGGACGGGAGGGGGGTGAGAAAAATAGGCCTGCCCGAATGAAATCGCCACACCTCAGAGCAACCTGGAGGAGGAGGGAGGAGGAGGGAGGAGAAGGGAGGAGGAGGAGGAGGAGGAGGAGGAGGAGCAGGGACGAGGGGCAGACAAAAAAAGAGGAGCAGGAGGAGGAGGGGAAAGAGAGACGAGTGCGGAGGAAGACAGAGAAGGGAGGGGGAGGGTGGGAGGGGAGGAGGCGAAGGAAGGGAGGGAGGGAGAAAAGGGGAGGAGGCAGGAGGAAGGAAGGACTGAAGGACAGAGTAGAACGGATGCAAGGAGGTACTAGGAGAGAGGAGGGACTGGGGGACGGGGGGGCGAAAGGAAGGGGAGGAGTTTTTGGACTGTTTGCTAAATCCGAGGCTCCCTCAAGACATGCACCCGAGAAAACCCGCAACCACCTCAACAACGGCACCGCAGCCACGCGAGAGGACGACCAGGAGGACAAAGGGGAGGAGGAAACGAGATTCTACCTGGAGCCTCCTCCGCCTCCTATACCTCCGCCTCTCATTCCTCCGCACAACCTTTTTCCTTTTCCTCCTCCTCCTCCTCCCCCTCCTCCTCTTCCTCCTCTTCTCCCTCCTCCTCCTCCTCCTCCTCCTCCTCTTTCTCCTCCTCCTCCTCCTCCTCCTCCTCTTCCTCCTCCTCCTTTTCCTGTTCCTCCTCCTCCTCCTCCTCCTCCTCCTCCTCCTCCTCCTCCTCCTCCTCCTCCTCCTCCTCCCCTTCCTCGTCCATTCCTTTACCATATAGATAATTTGTCCCTGTCGCACCTCACGAGAATCGTGGCCTCCGAGGGGGGCGGTGCACTCGACTACCCCCTCCTGACCCAAGAGGTCCCCAAGAGCCCCCCAAGAGGCTGCAGGGGCCCACAAGACGCCGCCAAGGAACCCCAAGAGGCTCCCAAGAAGCCCCCAAGAGGCCCCCAAGAGGCATCCAAGGGGCCCAAAAAATACGCCCAATAGGCCTCAAAGATCGCTGCAGGGCCAGTTCAGCTCATTCTTGGTGATGACACATACACTCCTGTGTCGATGTTTAGCTCACTCTTGGTTGAAACAAACGCATGTCATCCCTGGGCGGGTGGAGGGAGTCTCTTACTCAAAACGCACGCTCGCCCCCCTGAAGCTGCACACTCCCTCCCCCGCCTCCTCCATTTTCTTATCCTCCTCATCCTGCTCCGCTTTCCCCCTCCTTTTCTCGCCACTGCACTGTCGCCCTGTGCACTGCGACCACCCACTTTTCCTCCCTTCCTACCAGACACACACACTCTCTCTCTCTCTCACACACACTTTGTCTCCCTATTTTCCCTCTCGCGTCGAGACGCATAACTACAGCAACAGTCACGCTGTCTTCATGGCCCCCGCGCACCTTCTCGACCCGATCTAAGTAGCCCTGGGGCACGTAGAAGTAATCGATCGTGCTGCATCCTCCTGGTCGTCCATCTCGTCCGCTCGCGTAGTACGTTGGCTCCAGCTTGTCGCTGAACGTTGCCGGTACTGCCATGTACTGCTCATCCAACACTTGCAGTATGAGTTCCCCCGCTCCACCTCTTCGTCGCTCTCGCGTCACTGCTCCTCCCAGTCCACCTGAGTGTGCGACCTGCCAAACTCCGTCCATCTGAGCAATGCCGATCCCATCAGTCGTATCCGCGAAGAAGCACGGTAATGTTCTCTGCGGAATCTCCTGTACGATCGTCATCCACCAGCTAAAGATCTGTTTGGCGCCCTGCATATACGCTCCCAGCTTCTTCGCATCCGTCGGCTGCACAGGGAAGTACATCGCGCCATACACCACATCCATCAAACCCTTCTCATTCCGCAGCGCAAGTGCACGTCCCGCAGCTCCAGGTGGTGAGCTCCACGTTCTCCTGATGTGTTATTATTGTATCCCTCTTCCGAACATGATAGCACAGCCCGTATGTCGATTTGCGTGCGGTCCTGGTTCGAAGCCTGCTTCCACCAGCAGTCGCCCTTCCACTCGTTGCCGCAGAGCGCCTCCTCCGTTTCGGTACGCCGCCTTGGTGCCCACCAGGGTCAACGCGTCCGCCGTGGGAGCTGCGAGGGCCAGCTCCGACAGGCGAAGTGCGGGTTGAAGCCGACCAGCCGTAGCAAGTTGGACGGCGCCATGGCCTCCGCCACGCCCGCCTCACATCCGCCTTAGGCAGAAGCTCGCGACGCACATGGCACCCAACTGCCGCCGTCCTCGCCCCCGTCCCTTCCTGGAAACCTCTCGAGCGCGCGGTGGCTGGCGACCACCACCACCATCGTCATCATCAACACCACCACCGCCCTCCTCCTCCTCCTCCTCCTCCTCCTCATAATTTGTCCCTGTCGCACCCCGATGCCAGTTTTCAGATCGGGCCGGGCGTTTCACATAAGACTTCCTCACCATTTACGACCCTGAAGCTTCAAATGGCAACAGCTTCACAGATGGAGGGCGGGTCGTTTTCAAAATGTGGCTCTCGCCTTCGCGCCGCGCACATTCGTTTTAAGAAATGTGCAAGGGCTTCACGGATTGAGGGCGGGTCATTTTCAAAATGTGGTTTTCGCCTCACCGCCGCGCACGCTCATCTTGCAAATTTGCTAAAAGCTTCACGGATTGAGGGCAGGTCGTTTCCAAAATGCGGTTGTCGCCTGAGCGCAGGTGGTTTTCAACATGTGGCTCTCGCTTTCGCGCACACTCGTGTTTAAACAATTGCAACAGCTTCACGGATTGAAGGCGGCTCGTTTTCAACATGTGGCTCTCGCCTTGGTGCCGCGCACAGTCACCT